CTGAGTCATTGATTACAGGCCAAAAAGGGGTCACCTCTGCCTCTGCGGTGCTTTTTGCTGGATTAGATCTAATGAAGCAAGACATTTCAGAAAATGTCCCGTGTTATTTATATTATTATTATTATATATTTTTACATATGACCTGGGAGTCTGGACTGACTTTATTATCATACAATGTCAAATTTGAGTTTGATCCTAGACTAGATAATTTTTTTAAAACCTAAACTTAGTGATTCTGTATGACGAAGAAAGGTAAAAAAAAAAAACTGCATATTTCTGAGCTTAGTCTGTGTTAGAGAGAAACCTGAAAAAAGGAGAGGAATGGAAAGCATATTAGTGTGCATGTTGGTGAATGATGAGGTGTGCAGTGGGGCCTAATCTGCTATCTGCCCTGTACAGTGCACACTCTGTGCACTGAATGTGAATGGGCTGCTGGTGCACAAAACTAAACCCTCCACCTCCTTCTGTCTCCCGTTTGTCTTGCAGCCACCATTCAAAGTTGCCTGACTGTTTTCAGAAAACCTGTACCTTCCAGTCTAAAAATGAATCCTTTTTCATATCAGTTTTACTGTGAACATGGGTCAGTGCTATTCTTTACATTTGGAGATCTCACAGATTTTTGGAATAATCTTGTCTTTATATCTGATGGCTAATGCTAACAACAACACCTAGCCTAATTATTGGTATCATTTTCTGAAGAGTTTTTGCAATGGTAATTTATTTCAAAAATGCTTGAGGTGAGATCTAAGATGATCATCTTTTCCTCAACTGGAACATTTGAGAAACTACCATGTGTACATCAATATGTTATGCTTAGTTATGACTTATTTTTTCCTTTCTGCTATAAATTACATTTATCTATCTTTATTTAAAAATGACACTGTCATGCAGATAAACATAAAATCATTAATCAGATTTTTGTCAAAAATTCTGACTGTCAGACCTCTACAACTGAATGCTAATGTTTTTATGCTTAATTTTATTGATTTCCAGAATTTTCCTAAATGCAATACTTGCTTTGCCAATTTAATGTGAAGTCACAGCACAGAACCTCTATCGGACGGGGAATAATTTGGGAGAATCATTACTGCTAGAAGGTTTTATTGTGAGACTTTTCAAAAACACCTAAGCATAATTCTTCATCAGTTTGTCCCTTTCTACCTCTGTCTGTTTTTTAATGACAGGCTCAAAACAAGCCACTCATCTGTGAACTTTCTGTAAATGTGGCTGAATTAAAACAATTCTGCACAGAAGAGTTGGCCAAAATCTCACACGACGACGTGAAAAACTGGAGACACTGATGGAAGAGCCACTGTATGTAACCAGTTTGTTTAGGGCACTGTGAGGGATTTACCCCCTCCCTAACAGGTGCTGTTTTTTGTGTGCTTTGTATATTCTGGTTTATTTGGGTGGATGTGTTGTTTTGGGAGGTGGTTTGATTTATTTACTTGTTTTAATCATCTTCTCATCTCTTTGAGGTCACCTGGTTATGTGTTGCCATGGAAGCGTGTCCATGAGCAGTGCTGACAAGGATCTGGTGTTTTCAATCAGCCTCATTGGGAAAATCCATTTTCTGAGAGGGAGCAGAGATGTATTTTGGATTTGTAGTTTTGCTTGAGTTAATTGTAACTGTGTAGACATTTTTTTTGTAGGAATAGTTTAGTACAAATGTTTTCTCTTTCTGAAAATGTGATTGTCTCCACCCCTCTAATTAGTCCTGGAGGGAGCCAATCATTTAAAAGCCAGGTGGTTCAGGTGAGAGGGAGATTCTCCCTCTTCTTGTTGTGACCTGATATGCCATGCTGTGTACTGAACTGAACTAAAGATAAAAGAAAAGTATTGAGTACTCTACAACTGCTGGCTCCAGTCTGTTTTTCTCTTACCAAATTCGCAAACTAACAGGCACAATTTTTATTTATTTTTTTCTCATAGTTATGTGTTGCAACAATCATTATCCCATACTTGATGTGCCCTTGTAAGGTTTGCATGTAATGAAAAATTACACAGAAGACATTCATAATCGCAATTAATAATAATAGGAGGTTTTAATCTGTGACCTGATACTTGAATTAATGTCATAACAAATTTTGGAAAAAATAGAGTTCTTTTCTGCACTTGATGGAAAATTCCCATGTTTCCAAAGATGACAATAAAAAGTCACTTAGATGGAGTACTGGCAACTGGCACTTTTTCACAGGCTTTCCAGTCAAAGGCATAGGCAGCGTGACAAGCCAGCCAATAGAAGTCAGCAGTGATTATGCAAGTTGCTTATGCCTAATGGGTAAGGTCAGCACATTGCCAGAAATGGGACACATGCCCAGTCTCACACAGGGCAGAACATGTTCCTCGTTCATTCCTCCTGGAGAGAGAGAAACGGCACTGGTGAAAACAGAAAGGAGGTTTAGTTTGCATAACACCTGTGGAGACCAATCTTAGAAATATATTTTCATTTCACTACATGGCATAGGGTTTCATAGTTGTAGTTAAATATCACTTTGTTGCAACTTTTGCAAAGGAAGGTAAGTAGATTCTCTGTCATCAAGGACATGACAATCGAAAGGCAAAGTAGAATAAGTTAACCATAGGCTGGGGTTTCTGGGATTGGACAATTGCACTTATAGGACTGTTAAGGTCCCATAGGTCTCCATTAGTTGTTTGGGCGATTGCTACTTATGAAGTGCTTTCTAATGAGGACATCGTGTGAGGTGGTACAGTCATGTCCAAGGTGTACATTGTTATGAAACCTCCCTGAGGAGAAAAGTTGAGGCTGTTTGATAGGACACAACTGAGGCCAGCTCCTCTCTTCCTGGTTTATGGACTCCTTAACTTTTCTTTTGAAACACTTGTCTTCCTTGTTTAGCAAGTCTGCATTACTGTTCCCAGAGGAGTGTCTGTCATTTTAGAGACCTAGCCTGAATCACCTGAGTCTAGACCTGATGAACTGGGCCTTCTATGTTTTTGTCCATAAGATTCATTCAACCCTGCTACACCACAAAGTCTGAATAACAGCCCGATGCTTGAGACCCCCTCTAAAAATGCTTATAACTGCCTATTTAAACAGTTCAAACATCAAATATACCTGAATATACATTAATACTCCAAGTGGAAATCATCTTGTCACTTCCACAGAAGCCAGCATCTTCAGGCTTCCTTATCACTGCTCTTGGGTTACAGAGAGTCAGCAGCAAGGCAGTTCTGCACCTGGAGTACTATAAATCCAATTGTAATAATTCTAGTAAAAACTTGGGGGAAAAAACTAAAAAGAACAAAAGCATCGGTTGCATTCAGCAAGAAAGGAATTGTTTTTTTTTTGTTTGTTTTTACATTTTTATGTGTTTGCCCACAATGACTTGTACTGTTTCCAAAATGGAGCTCACTACATCAGGACATTGTACATAGACCAAACTTGTTCTCTGTTAGATCATCAAAATTATTTGTTTGCTAAATCCTGGAAAAATAAGACAAAACTCGTTTTGAATCTTTCTTAAAAGTTTACGTACATTTCCTTAGTAGCTAGTGAATTGACTTTTAGACTGTATTATTCGGGTCAAGTGTTCTGGATATTCTTTGATAAGATTCTTATAATAGCGAAGAAGAAATATGGCTCATTCCTAGTGTGTCAGGTTTGAACTTCACTTTGCTCGCATCTGTTTTGTGAAGATGTAGAAAATGTGATGCTGCCACCACCGTGCTCTCCAATTGGAACAGTGATGAGGCTTGTAAGGTTACTTCCCAAGTGTAGTGATGGTCATTGTGATCAAAGACAAATTTTCCAACAGTGAAGGTATTTTTTTCTTATGTTTTCAAGCTGTAATTGTTTTTTTTTATGTTGGTTATGAAATAATGGCTTCTTCCTCACTGAGCGGCCTTTAAGCCCATTTTGGTACAGAACTCACTTCATCTCATGATGATAATGATAATGACACACTCCTACTGACTTCAGCCAATATCTTGTTTCTTTCAACTATGGTTTGAAAGAAACAAGATATTTCTTTCAAACCATAGTTATGCACATTTTCAGAGGCCACAGCTAGTAATGGTTCTGTTGAATGCTTCATCTTCCTGAGCTGTAGGACTCTGCAGCTCCTGCAGAGTTACCACTGGCCTCCTGGCTGCTTCTCTGATTAAATCTCCACACATTCATTAGGTGCCTTCTGCATTTCAGGATATTAGAGTAAAATCAAAAGGATTTGAACTTATTTTTCTAGGATCAAAGAAGGAACCATTTGTGTTCCTCCATCGACCCTGTAGGCTAAGCAAGCTTTGGTTGACAGAAAAGCCTCCTCTGCACAGTTTATCTCCTTTGCTCATTGCTTTGATGTGTTGTGATTGTATTAGTGTGGCAGTGGTGTGCTGCATGGAAAGGGGTTTGGAGATTGGATGGAGGGGGCAGGGGTGTAGCAGAGGAAAGCGTTCTGCAGTGAGAATGTGCTCCCACTGAAGCGTAGAGAGACTGCAGCAGAGTGAATGAGGCTGTGCACCACCTGCAGTAGTGTGTGTATGTGTGTGTGTGTGTGTGTGGAAGAGAGAGAGTGGGAGAGATAGTGGGAAATAATCACCCAAGACACAATGATTCAACACCCTGCCCCTCTCCTCCTTTCTGCGACCCAGTTCTTCTCAGACTACAATCACCAACCTGCGCCTGCATCGCATCAGCTTCAGCTTTCATCCATCCGTCTGCGTGTGTGCTCAGTTTTCTAAAACACACTCCCCTCTCCTGCTTTTCTTCCAGCGACCTGCTGCTTCCCATTTTGTCATTCTCTTCCGTTCCTGTCCTCTCGCATTTATCCATATTTTCTCCTGTGAGCCGTTTTCCATCTCGTCCGTTGCTACTTGATGCACACTTTTGTTTATGTCATCATTTTTAACTCTGAAATATCCCTGCAAACCCCCCCACCTCCCGCCCCTCACCCCCTTGTAATCCATCCTTTTTTCCTTGCTCCCCATCATTCCCCCACCCCCCACCCCTCCTGACTCTTTTGCTCCCCTCCTCCCACTCTGACTGAGTAAATGCTGCAGCATCACTGCATGTATGTGTGTGAGAGCGTGTGTGTCGCTGAGCAGCACGGAGCGAAAGAGATGGACAAGTGTGTGTAAGCAGAGTGTGTGAATGCAAAGCACCGGCGATCCTGAGCCTGGAGGGGTAGCCGTGTGATGAGAGAGGAGGAAGGGGCGGGGGGTAGGGGCTGTTCTGCCTGCGAACACATTTGCCAGGACAGCGTTACATGCAGGCGAGCGTATGTATGTGTGTGTGAGGGAGAAAAGTGAGTGAGGGTATGCCAGCGTAGGTGTAGCGGTGTCGTCGATCAGCAGCGGGCTCTTCGCATTATGCAGCCGACGGTACTGATCACACTTTGAGGACTGACTCATCCAGACTAGACTGAGAAGACGAATGGATGAACATACAGGGAGACATTTTTTAGCTCAAAAAATGCTCCAGGTCCTCCAAGATTGTTCAAAGGTCTAGTCCTTTTCGGGGATTGCTGGTAGCCCCTCTTGTTTCCTTACAAATTGGAATTGCAGGCACACAGACAGACATTCAAAATTTCCAGAACCTCCTGAAAGGAACATAAATCCTCAATCATTGTCTGACTCAGACACTTCATATTTGCTCCAGGGACTAGGACAAGAGGATCTCCTGTCTTTCCATAGTCTTGAGGACGGTTGCAGGATCCTTTCCCAGTGCCGGGAGTGGGAGATAAGAAGGCTGGCAGACAAGACGGGAGAGACACAGGCATGGCTCGCCTCAACTGGTGCCTGGCTGCTGTCATTAGCTGGGGCAAGTTCCTCTTTGCCTGTTTCTTTCCTCTGCGAGGAGCCAAGCGAAACAAGGTAAGACCTCGATGAATGTGCAAGAAGGGTAGTAGGAAATGACTGACTTAAAGGACTGTTCTCCAACTGCCTCTCTGCTGCTTTAGCATCTAATTGAACTAATCAATCTGCATGGAGTCTACTTCAGGATTGGTTCTGTTTTCAATCAAATTACCCAGCCGTGACTTGCATTCAACTGGCCTTGCCTAAACCACCGAAATGACGTAGCTGCAAAAAATTAGCTTGGCAATGGACCATTGTCTCTAGAAGACCATAGTCAAAGTGCTCCAAGTGTTGATTCAAGGTCAGTGTTATATGTTCAAGAGGTCTTCAGACGACTAACTTGAGGTGAATGGAGAACTTTAGTGCTCGGATTTAAATATTTGCCATTGAAACTTCTGGCCAATCCTGCTGCCAAGGAGGGTCACCTTGATTTGAAACCTGCAGAACTGAGATGCACCATTATGGGAGCATTCATAAGAAAAGAACTTGCGGTATTGCCTCATTTTTATCCTGTTTAACCTGTTCTTAGTTGGTGATTGCAAGTCTGCCATGCTTACAACATACTTAATCAGTCGTGTCATATTTGTAAGGCCAAGCAAAGTTCATTGAACAGTAACCAACAAGCCAACATGCTTTAGAGGCAGCTTAACTGGCAATATATCCATTTTTCATTTATGTGATTAATCAGATAATCAGTCATGTAGCAACTATTGTTCTGGTAACTTTTCCAGTAACATCAAGAAGTGTGTGCCAGGTTTTACTCAGGAAACATGAACAAAATCACCATATCGCAAAACGCCCTTCGCAGAATATAACCACAAGCAAATCGTCAATTTTGGAAACTTTGCTATAGGATTCTGAACATGAGGGTTTAAACTTGCTGTGATCCTCCCGTAGTGTCGTTGCAAAGTCTGCTGGTGACGCTGTAGCTCGCAATGCTGCAGGCACACATCTCTTCCAGCACCAGCACCAAGAGAAAACCCACTCCCCTCCGCGGCGCCACCACCACCCTCGCCCAATTGCCGCAGCTCCTTATCTCTTTGCCCGCACTCATTCCCACCACTCTGCCCCTCCTTTCGACGCATTCTTGTGTAGCGTTTGTGTGTGGAAATCCACTCATAGGTCCATTTTTCCTCAGTTCAATTTCCATAATTTCCATGTTTTTACTTGCCTTGCAGTAATGACGCATAATTCAGCAAAAATGTTGATTGCTTCACTGAAAATACCACTGCTTGTTCTCAAAAGCATAACCTTAACACTCCAACCTTTAGTCTTTTGAGAGAATATTCATGCAGCCTTCATGCTCCGTTTGCATGTCTGAATCCTTATATTGTTAAGTAAGGGCAGTGTGAGCTTCTGTCAGATGTATAGATATTTGATAGATAGTTTGTCAGTAAGAATTTGTTTTACTTTGAAAAAAATAATATAAATAAAACATTATATTAATAAGTTTGGGTCTCGGCGAGAGACTGCTTTATCTGGACAGTTTTCTTCACCATAAATGTAGATGGATCAGGACACAACAGGTCCAAGGGTACAATGACCATTTCATCTCTAGTTTAGCTTCTGTCAGCTTGTTTTGGGTTTTCATTAGTCTTGTTTACATTTGAATCGACATTTTCCACATTTCCTTCATTTGTCTCCTGATTGTAATTTAGTATTTAATTTACATGTAATTTTGGTCATTTTTTTTGTCAGCCAGTGTCTTTGTACTTCAAATTTATGTCTCCTGTGGGGTTCATTTATTAATTTTTGATCTCTTTGTGGTTCATTTGTATGTCATTATCACATTCTTGAATTTTTGTTCCTCAATGTTAGTCTTCATTTTTTTTGGTTATTTCACTTCCATCTAGTCCCTTCTACGTCCCTTCTGTGATATTTGACATCCTGTTCAATACTCAAGCAGGTTGCTGCATGACACATAGATTTCTGTAGCGTCTGCTGTTGCCCTGTTGAGCCGAAAAGCCGACTGGGAGGTGAAAGTGGAGAGATATGGTGGCTCCACATCTTCCCTCTGAGGACTGCTGTGAGGTGTTCAGTTTCCATGGCAATGTGGCTCAAGCAGTCCCCACATGACGGGGCCGGGTTACTACAGGAGATGGGATGCGTGTTCGGCCGTGGATGTGCGGTGGTTTTCTAAGAGGCAGACGAAGGGGGAGTGGGGGAGTGGAGGAGAGAGGGAAGTGGGAGTGATGCTGGGTGAAGCTTTCCTCCATATGTGTTACTAAGGCGACACTGCTGCAGCTTTATGAAGGAAGCAACCTCTCTTTCGACATCATTCTGTGGCGTTTTAAGCTTGTTTTTCCCTTTCCCTTCATATGCTCTTTAGCTTGATTTACTCAGCATTTACCTGCATCTGTATTAGTTTAATAAATGCATCCTTGCCCTGTACAGTCCCTCCAGACAGCAGAAAGGGAATTTCCAGGCCCACAGAACTTGATGGATTCTTTATTATTGTAGCATGAATGTTTAAAATGTGATGGATTCTTCAGCAACAGCAGGAGATTCCTCTTCTGAAATAGATTTTTTTCTAACACATTTTTGGTTATTAATGAACCTATCCATGTATATGTATGCAAGCTTGAGTTTTCCCATGCTTTAAACAGGTAGCATAGATTGTTAATGCCGTTTTCTGGGTCAGAATCGAGAGTTGTGTTGGTTCAAATGCATTTGTAAAGGAAAGCTTACTCAGCAGCTTTGGAATCAGTGAGTTTTGCTGTTGAAGTATCCTTCATAGTGATTATATGAGGAATAACTATGGAAGCAAAAATGCAGTCAATCTGCTGTTGACTATTTGGAGGCCACTAGGGGCTGCTAGCAACCCAGTTTAGAGCAGGAAAAAAACAAAAAAAAACATGGCTGTAATGCATCAAACACATGCACCAAAAATCTATCTGAACAAAGCTTCCTAGCAGTTAAGTGACTTCTCCAGCATTTCCCTAATGCCGTCCTGTTATGTAAATACACAGGCAGAGGCTGCCTCGCTCATAAACACACACAGAGAGATAATGTGTCAGGTGAGCCTATAGATTGAGGTAACTGTTACAGTGGAGGTGATGGAAAGCAGCGTGGATCAATAGGGGGTGTTTTCTCAAAATGAATTGGCTCTTAGCCCTTTATGGATCTGACTGTAGAGTGATGTAATGTCCCTGTGCAGCTGGGGTAATGTTGATTCAGTGCTGCGGTTTGTGCACACAAACAAATGCATTCTGCAATTCTTTTCAATGTGCAATACAGTGTATGGATGAATATTTGGTACTCTAGCCTTTCTGCAAGGATTTTAGCTGTTCTGTTTTAGTAATTATAAAGCCTGCAGAATGCAAACAGAGACTCAATATTCTGCATAAAAACTGATGTAAATGTATTTTCAAACAGAGTAAGAAGGCATTGTTAAGTGCTCTGCAGTCTAGGAGTGTCCCTGATCATCCACTGGGTTGGCACACTTCAGTGGATCAAATTTTGTTTAACTTTGAAAACATTTAGCACATTTAGTTTCCCCTGAATTAATTTTAAATCCTAAAACGCTACTTTATTTGGCTGTTTACTTTCATCTGAATAAAGTTCGACATTTGTTGAAGTTTTTGTTATCCATTGTTAAGTATTAGATATTTATATTCATGATCTTATTTGAAAGTGGACACAACACTCCAATGCATTCTGGTCCAATAAGTTAGGTCAGTAGAATAAATGAGTAACAAATAATCCTAAAAAGATCATAATGAAAAAAAAAATGTCCACTTACTAAAAAAAAAGCTGCTGAAAAACTATGAATAATTCTCTAATTTAAATGACTATTCTTAAACCTATTATATCTCTTATGGAATTTTATTGTTTTTAATAGCTTCATGTTTTATAGTTTGATTTTGCAAAACAAACAAACAAAAAAAATCCCTAAAATACATTACACAGCATAAAAGTTAATGCTGACTTACATTTGTCATTTCAGCAGAAAGGCTCAGCTCCAGAAAACAGTGCTAAGTGTGAAATTTGATTGGATGCTTTAGAAGAAACAAAGTAACACCATCTATATTTGTCAAAACTGAAATTGTAACATAAAAATGTTTCATTTTAAGATAAATGTGAGATCTAAAATGGAAGCTTTCTTTCTCTTTTTTTAAACATCCTGTCCTGGCATTTCTAGAAAATGAGATTCCAGTTCTTGTTGGTTCTTGTCATAGTCTTGTGTAATAAAGATAGCACTTTGCAAATGTAGAATTCGTCCTTCATATCTAGGTTGATTAGTTATAAACATAGCTTAATATTACTCAATGAAGAACCAATTAACCATCTGAAGAGCAGTTTCAATTAGAAAATTTTCTTACACTTCTTCTTGTTCAATGTTTAGGGCTGTTGTGCATAGTCCTGGCCTATAGATCTTGCAGTAGATGGTTGTATAACAGGTTGTGTTTTCATTGACACATGGAATCCTGTCACCAAAGATGCATGATCATCTCTGAGCAGTTCTCTAGTCTGCCTGTAATAGTGGACAATATCAGAACTTCATCACTGAATTTTTGTCGTCTTATATATTTAAAAAAACAATCACCTTTTACTGGTAGTTGCTTGTAAGGCTTGTTGAGGCAGTTGGTGATCCTTGCTGTGACATCATCCTGACTCCCTACTGGGGACAAACCCTGTCGAGTGCCAGAGTGGGAGCAGGAAGTCCAGAAGCCACATGAGTCTTGCATTGTTTGATGAATGAATGTCCTCTTTCATTAGAGGGCTGAAAAACTTTAAAGGTTTGGACCAACCAACTCTTGAGATCCTGAAGTCCAAAACCCTTACTCTCGCAATTGCCATTTCTTTCCAGCTGGTGCATGAACAAAGAAAACCTGTCCATGTTTATTCTGGTTTGTGAATGTAGTTTGTGTTTACTGTCATAAGGGTCAGGAGTCAAGCTAACAGTAGGGTTTAGGGGTCAGGATGTTGGAGCAAATAATTTGGCAAACATATCAACCATAACAGAAAGAGAGTTTTGGGGCCCTTAGCACAACTGTCTTCATGGCTCTTTGTTTTGA